TATTTTCAACTTCTATTGGATTTGATTTGTCTGTTTTCGAATGTTTTTCGCCATTATTAGTGGGAAAAATGATACATATCGTGGATGATGCTCTCTCCATTACACAAATTAAGTCAAAAATCTCCTTGTTCAATACAGTGCCTTCTGCCTTAACTGCAATACTAAATGTAGGAACTTTACCTTCATCAGTTCATACCCTCCAAATGGTAGGTGAGTCATTAAACGAACGCCTTATCAACCGTATTTTTACGGAAACTCAAGTTACCAAACTATACAATCTGTACGGACCTACGGAAACGAATAACGTAACTTGTTATACATATAAGCCAGGTGATGTTGTAATTGAAACGATAGGGCGGCCCATTGCCAATACACAGATATATCTTTTAGATGCACAAGGTGAACCTGTACCATTGGGAGCAGAAGGAGAACTGTATATTGGTGGTGCTGGTGTGGCCCGTGGCTATCTCAACCGACCTGAACTTACCGCGGAACGATTTTTACCTGATCCATTCAGTGACAAACCATCAGCACGCATGTACCGCACTGGTGATCTGGCACGCTATCTACCTCATGGAAATTTAGTATATTTGGGACGCATTGACCAACAGGTTAAAATCCGTGGCTTCCGAATTGAGCCCGGCGAAATTGAGGCCCGTTTAATGGAACATCCAACGGTGCGCGAAGTAGTTGTACAGCCATGGACGAACGGGATTGATTGTGATGCCCGTCTGGTGGCCTATGTAATAGCCGATCCAGATGCGTCACTCGCTAACAATCTACGTACATATTTGACATCTCTTTTGCCTGATTATATGGTGCCAGCAGCATATGTGTGTATATCATCATTGCCACTCACGCCAAATGGCAAATTGGATAGACGTGCACTTCCAGCACCGGACGATGAAGCATTTGCTCGTCAACTATATGAAGAACCGCAAGGCGAAACGGAAGAAAAACTAGCCGCCATCTGGAGTGATCTGTTGGGTATTGATCGAATTAGTCGGAATGATAATTTCTTCGCGTTGGGCGGGCATTCTTTGCTGATTGTACGAATGCTTACACAGTTACGAAAGGCCGGATTAGATACTAATATCAAGAAAATATTTGATACTCCCTCGTTAGCCGCACTAGCTGAAACTATTGGCAAATACCAGTCAGTCAGTATTCCACCCAATCTGATTACGGTCGATAGCACTGTTATTACTCCAGACATGTTGCCGCTTAT